AGCATTATGCAATCTACCCCTGAGGGAGTCTTCATATCCCCCTTCTGTTTTAAAGACATCTTTTTAGAGTATAATTAGATCTTTCAATAATGTTTCATTGATGTTTTTTGTGTGAAATTCTGAAGCTTCCAACACATTTCCTATCTGATCAATTTTATTATTTCCTTTTGCTTAATGGCCCCTGAAATCCAGTATGAGAGCAAATATGAGTGACATATAGTACATAATTTCTGTCCCAGATTTCTTGTTGCAGCTACTTGAATAGCAAAGTTAATTCTGAATTATCAAAAATAAGATCAGTCATTTGTTTATGCAATACAACTCCTGATGAATATTGAGAACGAGGAATTATATGAAAAGTTTAATTAAAGTTTTATAAAACCATTAAAAGAACCTGGCAGTGGTGGTGCCTATCTTTAATTCCAGCACTTGGGAGGCAGAGGTAGGCAAATCTTAGTGGGCTTAGAAAAATCATCTACCATGATAAAGTAGGCAACGTATTTTTATATTTTTGCATATATTTGTACAAATGGCAAGGATGACACTTGGGAAGGCTGTAGGAAACAAAGGGAATGGGAAAGGTAATTATAATGCAATTTCAGTGAAACTATTTTTAAAATTTTTGTATCTGTAAATGTAATTTTTCATCAAATGGTTTATCATAAAATATTTTATATCACATATATTTTTACTGTTCCTAAATTTATTATTATCAGACTGAGTCTTCAGCTCTCTTCCTGGACTCCCTAGACCAAGACACCTTAAACCAAGCTTGGTGTACAGCTTTCATAGTTTATATGCCAGTCAGTTGAACTGAGAACTACTTTACTTCTTTCTCTTGGTGATTATTACATTCATCATTTTCTGTACTGCAAGTCTAATAATTTTGAAATCTAGTGTTTTAAATACAATATTATTAAAGTATCTGAAGCTCTAATGCTACATCTCTTATTCCTGTTTAAACCCTCTATCTAATGAGAAGGAAGGACAACTACTTTACAAGGTTGTGTGGGTAGCAGCAAGGGAATATGGATTCCTAATTGCTGAATTTCCCAAGAGTTGGAGAGTAGGATCAGGTTCAATGGGGAGCTTATTAATCATTATTTTCTCTTGATAGCTATTAGTATCTCTACTAGCATATAGAGTCACCACATATATCAAGATTTGTAAAGGAACTAGTGACTTTGGGTGTCATCCTTATCAGAGAGCAAGATTGATCACTTAGAGAACATTTTGTAAATAATCCTTCCTAACACCCTCAAAGGCAGTTTCGTTGCGAAGCTCTGAACTTTTGGGGAAAGAGGGTATGTCTGAAATTCAGTCTTTATGTTTACAATTTCATTGTCTCCTGTGTTCCTTTTTTTCCTAATCTGTATAAAGATGCACATGAGCATATATGTGTATTACAAATAGGCATTATAGGAGCAGTGCTCCTTGATGAACAGGCTTCCTTGGTCTCCCGTATCCTGCTTGGGAAAATCATTGTGTACCTTTTCAGTTGTAGCGGTATGAGATCTAGTATTGAAAACTTTAGCTTCTAAAATCTTCACTCAGGGCTCAAAAAAGGGAGCAACAAATAAGCAAAGGTACTAAAATCTGGGGGAAAAGAGAATCTATTTACAAGGTGATCTTTCTACCCATGGTTCTTTATTATTTTGTCTCTTTTTCTTCTTTGCTTCTTTTACTCTCCCCAGTTCTTGGGGGTATGGTATGCATACATTTGCAATGGCAATTCTTTTTGCAATACAATGCAGAGCTTGAGTTTCTCAGAGACAGCAAAGCAGATAAGATTTATACACTGAACAATAAACTAAAACTGGTGGGAGAAACTTTTAGCACCAATTGCTTAGGTCTGTAGGTCAAGGAGAGTGTCTAAGTTAATTTACACAAGAAACAGAACCTGGCACCTTCCAGTGCTCTGTCCTGAGTAGCAGGACAGGCCTGCAAAAAAGTTTATTTTTTCCTGAGGATGAGCAAGTAAGCTGATTACTTTTGCTGCTTTCTTCTCAGGGAAAACACAAACAGTAAATTTCTGAGCTAGAATTTTGGGCAGTAAACAGGAATGAGAAGTTTGAAAATCTTTTGTTGCAGAGTTAGTTTAGGTTATTGCTTCTGTATGTGCCAGTGATGTAAAAACAGGGCCTTCTTATTTTTAAATCCATCTGGGCAGCTATGAATCAACATCTTTGGGTGTGTAGTAATTCTATATCCTTGGATAGCTGGGAATGTCATACATGGAATGCTTTTAACTGAGCCCTAAACACTGAATGCCTGTCAATAAGGATAATTGCAGTAAAGCAGATATCTGCAATTGCATAGGAGATGGGAATAAGGACCTGATAGTGGGGAAACAGGTCTCACACATAGCTGAAGAATGTGATCAATAAACTCCAAATACAATGGAGAAATTGTTCCCAGTAAATGATCAAATAGTGTTGAACTGTAGGAAGTAAATCCCAAGTTTGTTGCAGAAAGAAATAAACTACAGGAAGAATCAACATCAAGAAACAGGCATTTTTACTCATAAGACTTTAATGGAAAATACAACTTTTGTATTGGTTTAATGCCCCAGAAGAATTCTTAATTTTTCTGTATTTCTCATGAAATGATGACTGTATAATTGCTGTGTAATCTTGTGGCTTGTAGCAATTTAGTAGCAATTCTTTTGAAAGTCTATTTACTGTACTGTACTCATCAATAAGCCATTATTAATAAAATATATTCCTTTTCAGAAATGCCATATGCAAGACATGATATACAGCACTATACTCAAATTACAATTTAGTGTGGAAGGGATTCTGGAATACTGTATAACAATTATAAAAGTGGTATGTATGTGTACATGTAAGCAAAATAAGTATATTTCTGGACACACAGATTATTGTCTTATTAACACTACCCTTCAATATCACACATCTTCAGTACTGCAAGTATCAAATGGGATTCATTGAATAAAGATTTTAGAAAGAGTTTCTACAGTAAATGTTAGTGCTAAAATGGAGGAATATCTATATTTCTTCATGTTTAATCATTGTAGAAAATACATGCCAGAGAATAAAAGACAATAAAATTGTTAGTTGGCAATATCAGGCATTTTCTAACAGATTGAGCTTTATTTGAGATACTGGAAAGTATTGACAGCATAAGAAATTAATGTAATAAATATTGCACCATGATAAGTATTATAGATGAGGGATAAATAACTGTGCTTAATGGAAAAAATCAAAAACCAAAAACATTAACAAGTAACAACCTCCAAAAGACACTATGGGAATGAATTTGTAGTTACTGAAAGATATTTCTGGGGAAAATCCCACAGAGGACAATGTGAAGCAATACTAGTGAAAGACCCCCAGAGTGGGGAGACCCTCACTCAAGTCTCGGGATAAGCCGACGCCCCAATAATTCAAGAGAGACCATTCTTGCTGGCAAGCACATGAGGTTTACTTGCGGAACCAGTGCACTGGGGCCGAGCTCATGACCCTCGCAGGGGCAGAGGAGTTCAACCCCTCATAGCTGCGGTCGGGGTTTTTAAAAGGAAAAAATCGAATGGGAGTTAGACAAACATCATAAACCTAAAGGATGAGGAAGTTAAATGATAGCTTATGTCTTAACAGGAAGGTTATCTCAAGCAAGCATTCTTTGGGCATTGTACAGTTAAACATTGAGCAAGAATGTGGTGAGCTAGTTCCTGGTTCAGGGAGTGTTATCTTTTAAGTTTATCTTGAGGTCTCTGGTTTCTCAGGAGAGGGCAGAAGGGCAAGTTGAGTTGGGATCTCTCACTAGCATTTAAGGAGTTCCACCCTATGTAGATGCTTAGTATCATTCACACAGAACAGTACAGGTAGATTGTTTCTGCTTTTTGGAAGTGTGACAAGTTGAACAACACTTTTTGAACAAAACAATGAGTCAAATACTTGTACAAAAATGTTATGTGCTACATGTATTTTTCTATGACAGTTAATTATCCCATTATTAAGACCTTTCTTAAAAGGATAGGGTATTATTGATACTCTTTTTGAGGACAACTGTTTCTTAAATGCTATAACTATGTGTTTTTGTTTTCTAGTACCAACTTGATTTACTTGCAAGTGTCAATGAAAGCCATGGCAGTCTTTAAAAGAATCACACATCTTATTAGCATTATTGAATTTAGGTTAAATTTATATTGCATTTTCCTAATTCACATAGATACTGCATTCAAATTCTACAAATTATATAATTATCAAAGGTGAACAAAGTAGAACATAACATATATTTTCTGTTAAAATCCTCCTTGTAATTTATAAATGTAAACAATTTCTCAGGATAGATCACTGAACCATGAAGTCCAGTTTATGTAGAACAGCTGAACTCTCCAGTTTATCTGGTGGAAACCAAGGCAAAAGTATGCCATCATGTGCATTTCCCAGAGATTGTTCAAATCTGAGAAATAAGTCTATCATTCATTGTAGAACTACAAAGAATAAAAGTATAGTCTCTGAAAAACAATAATGTGCATTTCTTCAAGAGTCAGTGGGACTGTGTGAGAGAAATTGGTATATTTTGAGTTGGAAATTTAATGGTGATATGTATCAAAACAAATGTCATTACTTTATATGTGTAGTTCTTTGTTAATAAATCATAGAAAATATTTGCAAATATTCTCTACTCTAGGTCAAAAGAAAATTTAGTCACTATGCATGCTAATATTTTTAATATTAGAAGTAACAGAGAGTCCTCAAGAAAATCTTCCTTCTCATATAGAAAAATATTTAATTCAGTGCTTTTTAAGATGTCTCTGGTCTCTATCGCTTCCAAAACCTTGTTGTATGTATAAGGCATTTGACCATGGAGTCATTGGATGTCCTACATAAGAAGTACAGAAGATCATACAGTATTTTATCTTACCTAAGGAGGTAATGACCTCTTCATGATTTATTTAAACATGTGTACATATATGCATGCATAGACAGGTAGTGACTCTACTAATTTTCTCTCTTTAAAATCCTGACAGGAAAATGGAGCCTGGAAATCATTCCACAGTAACTTTCTTCATATTGGCTGGGCTTTCTAAGCAGCCAGCACTCCAGCTGCCTCTCTTCCTCCTCTTCCTACAAATCTACATCATCACTGTGATGGGAAATGTGGGCATGATCACACTGATTTGGCTTAGTTCTCACCTGCACACTCCTATGTACTATTTTCTCAGCAGTCTGTCCTTCATTGACCTCTGTCATTCTACTGTCATTACGCCCAAAATGCTGGTGAACTTTGTGACAGAGAAGAACATCATCTCCTACCCAGAATGCATGGTTCAGCTCTACTTTTTCTCTCTTTTTGCTATTGCAGAATGTCACATGTTGGCTGCAATGGCATATGACCGCTATGCTGCTATCTGTAGCCCTTTACTTTACAATGTTGTCATGTCTCGTCATCGCTGCTTCTGGCTCACTATTGGAGTTTATACTTTGGGTTTTATTGGGTCTTCAGTTCACACAGGTCTCATGTTGAGGCTCATTTTGTGCAAGAGCAATGTGATTAACCACTACTTTTGTGATCTCTTTCCACTCTTGGAACTGTCTTGTTCCAGCACAAACATCAATGAATTATTTGTTCTCTTCCTAAGTGCACTGAACATCTTCATTCCTACCTTGACCATCTTTACTTCATATATCTTTATCATTGCCAGCATCCTCCACATTCGCTCCACAGAAGGCAGGTCCAAAGCCTTCAGCACCTGCAGCTCCCACATGTCTGCTGTTGCTATCTTCTTTGGTTCTGCTGCATTCATGTACTTACAGCCATCGTCAGTCAGCTCAATGGAACAAGGGAAAGTGTCATCTGTGTTTTATACTACTGTTGTTCCCATGCTGAACCCATTGATCTACAGCCTGAGGAATAAAGATGTCAAATCAGCTATGAAAAAAATTCTATACAGAAGAGCACATTCTTGAAATAATTACATATTTTTGTAAATTGAAGTAGGTTTTGATTACCTTAGATATGTGATTGTTTACATTTATTTTTAAAGTTAGGAATATCTACATTATAGAGGTCCAGAATTCTCCTTGTGGCAACCTTTTATGAGTTTATGTTACAAATAACTATACCTGAAGAAATATTAATAATTAAGTCAAAAGAATTTTAAGTCTTAAGGAAAATTCTTATAGTAATACAATTCTCATAATAATACATTAATAAAAGAATTCTATAGCATTTTATTTCCATGTAACTTTTCTATTTAATTTGATACAACCAATAAGAAAAATATTTCTAATCTTCATTATCAAAATGCAACAGACAAAAATGATATCTACTATGTTCACATGTGTGGTCCCTTGCTTTCTGACATTTTTATGTCCCATCTGATTTACTTGATTTTAGGAGTTCATGTATATGATTATAGATTAGAACATGAGGTGTACATAATTAGAACTTTTTTCTGAAAATTTGCTGTGGTCAACCACTATTTCAGAGACTGCATTCTTTTTCTGAAGCTGTTTAACCCTTGGGCAGCTTTTTGATGAATTACTCAGTATCTATGTGGTTATATACTATTTATGATTTATCAAAAGTAGCCTGAGGATTCACAAAGAAAACCCAGTCAAACACTACAGCAATCAGGCAGTGGTGGCACACATTCTTAATCCCAGAACTCAGGAGACAGGCAGAGAGATCTCTCTGAGTTCAAGCCCATTCTGGCCTACACAAGAGAGAAGAGTAACAGAGCTCACACCTTTGATCCCAGCACAATGGATATGGAGACAGGTGTGATATGGCTGGGCAGAGAAACGAAGGAAAGAGGAACTGAGAACTTCAGCCTCTGAGGATTCCTGAAGAAAACATTGACTCTGAGTGTTCATGGAGACAGTACAGCCCATTCAGCCTAAGATAGAGGTAAGATCTAGGGGTTGACTGCTTTGCTTTGATTTTCAGCTTAAATCTTAAACCCCAATATCAGTCTGTGGATCTTTTATTTTTCATGATACATATCTAGTTTGCTACAATTAATGTATTTGTCACGAAATAGACCACATCTAGTTTGCATATATTCTTCATTGTAGGCTTCCTCGTCATTCAGTTGACTATGGGAAGATCCAGAGACTTACAGGCACAACTTTCACAGCTTGGATAGTCTTACAGTTACATTTGGTTTAACTGACCAAAGATATGTTTTGTCTTTGTTATACATCTGGCATTTTATGCATCACCAGTTGTGATTCCTATGGCTCCACCAAATGTCTGTAACTCTAGTTCCAAAGGATTAAGAATCCCTTTCAGGTCCCTCTGCGCACCAAGATTAAATGTAGGTTATATACACACAGATTACAAGAAAATCACATGCATAAAAATGAATTAATAAATATTAATAAAAGAGAGTCAAAAAATCCTTGCAAAGGTATGGCAAACATGAACAATTATTCACCATTTGTGGGAATGTAAGCTATTTCGGGCATTATGGAAACTTATTTGGGGGTTTCTCAAACATTTAAAAATAAGCTTTGTTAAGATGCAACAGTACGATCAGGTAAACAGGCCGGCTTCCCGGCCTGTGTTCCAGTGCCTGCAGATCGCCTGGGAACTGCACAGAGCTCCCAATCCCGGCAGGAGCCAAGCACCCAGACCCCAGGTCTTCTCTCCCACCAACGAGACCAGGAAACCAGAGGACCCAGGGAGACCAGGGGAGTACCTGTTCTGGATCAAGTACAACAGGACCCAACATAGGGTCCAGGGGACCAGGTAAGAGGATAAGCGCCCCAGATTCCTGTTCTTCTTCTCCACCCATGGGACCAGCATTCGGACAAGGAATAGAAGAACCACCAGATTATTGGACTAGCTAGCACCCACCAAAAGGGAACTCTGGTCCCCAGACCAGTAAGGGGCTCTTTCTGCACCCACTAGAAGAAGAGATGGGAAAGAGACAATACAAAAACACAGTCAGCAACAGAAAAGCAAATATGACACCGCCAGATTCTAGAGACTCCACGCCAGCAAGACCCAAACATTCCAATGCGAACGAAGCAGAAGAGAACGACCTTAAAAGCACTTTCATGAAAATGATAGAGGCCCTAAAAGAGGATATTGGAAAATCCCTCAAAGAAATGGAAGAAAAACAAACCAAAAAATGCAAGAAATGGAAGAAAAAACAAAACAAAAAATGCAAGAATTGGAAGAAAAAACAAAACAAAAAAGGCAGGAAATGGAAGAAGAAATGAAGCAAAAAATGCAAGAAATGGAAGAAGAAACATACCAAAAAAAGGCAGGATATGGAAGAAGAAACAAACCAAAAAAGGCAGGAAATGGAAGAAGAAACAAAGCACAAAATGCGAGAATTGGAACAAAAAGCAAACCAAAAAAGGCAAGAAATGGAAGAAAGAACAAACCAAAAAATTCATAAAAGACAACAAACGGACTAACAGATAAACACAAAATTGCAAGAAGCAATGCAAACACTGCAAGGGTTGAAAACTGAAATAGAGACATTAAAAAAACACAATCTGAAGACAGGCAGAAAATAGAAAAGCTGGACAAACAGTCAGGCACTACGAATACAAGCATTACCAACAGAATAGAAGAGATGGAAGAGAGAATCTCAAGTGTTGAAGATACACTAGGAGAAATGGATTTATCAACCAAAGAAAACCTTAAATCCAACAAATCCTTAACACAAAACATCCAGGAAATATGGGACACCATGAAAAGACCAAACCTAAGAATAATAGGTATAGAAGAAGGAGAAGAAATCCACATCAAAGGGGCAGAAAGCATATTCAACAAAATCATAGAAGAAAACTTTCCCAACTTAAGAAAGACATGCCAATGAAGGTACAAGAAGCCTACAGAACACCAAATAGAGTGGACCACAAAAAAATCCCCTCACCACATAATAATCAAGACCCCAAACATACAAAATAAAGAAAGAATATTAAGAGCAGCTAAGGAAAAAGGTCAAGTAACATATAAAGGCAGACCTATCAGAATTACACCTGATTTCTCCATGGAAACGCTGAAAGCCAGAAGGTCCTGGATAGATATTCTACCTACACTAAGAGACCATGGAAGCCAGCCCAGACTACTATACCCGGCAAAGCTCTCAATCACTATAGACGGAGAAAACAAGATATTCCATGACAAAACTAGATTCAAGCAATATGTGTCCACTAACCCAGCCCTACAGAAAATTTTGGAAGGAAAACTCCAACCCAAGGAAGCTAACTACAACCAGAAAAACATAAGCATTAGAGAATCCCTCTCTACCAACAGCCAAAAGACCAAAGGGCTGAAATTCCACACATAATTCCACCAACAACGACCATCGCAAATCGAAAAAGGATGAGCAATCAATGGTCATTAATATCCCTCAATATTAATGGCCTTAACTCACACATAAAAAGACACAGACTAGCAGAATGGATTCGAAGACAGAACCCTTCCTTCTGCTGCATACAAGAAACACACCTCACCCTCAAAGACAGACATTACCTGAGAGTTAAAGGTTTGGAAAAATTTTTCAATCAAATGGACCCAAGAAACAATAAGGGGTAGCAATCCTTATATCTAACAAACTAGACTTTAAAATAAAATCAATCAAAAGAGATGAAGGAGGTCATTACATACTCATCACAGGTGAAACCCACCAAGATGAAGTGTCTATCCTGAACATCTATGCCCTAAATACAAAGGTATCCACATTCGTTAAAGAAACATTATTAGAACTTAAATCTCATCTAAAGCCCCACACAGCTATAGTGGGAGATTTCAACACACCACTCTCACCACTAGACAGGAATACCAAACAGAAACTCAGCAAAGAAGCAAAAGGGCTAATAGAAGTAATGACCCAACTGGGATTAACAGATATCTATAGAACATTTCATCCACATAAAAAAGAATATACCTTCTTCTCACCACCACATGGAACCTTCTCAAAAATCAACCACATACTTGGCAACATATCAAACCTCAGCAGCTACAAAAAAATTGGAATAACTCCACGCATCTTATCAGACCACCATGCTTTAAAATTAGAATTCAACAACAACACAAATTGCAGAAAACCTACAAACTCATGGAAATTGAATAATGCTCAACTGCACCATCCCTGGGTCAAAGAGGAAATAAAAAAAGAAATTAAAGACTTCCTCGAATTCAATGAGAATGAAGACAAAACATACCCAAACCTATGGGACACTTTGAAAGCAGTGCTACGGTGGAAGTTCATAGCACTAAGTGCTCACATGAAGAAACAGGAGAACAGTTACACCAGAGAATTAACATCACAGCTGAAAGCTCTAGAACACAAAGAAGCAAACTCCCCCAGTAGGAGTAGACGCCAGGAAATAATCAAATCAATAAAGTAGAAATCAGGAAAACAATACAAAGAATCAAAGCAACGAAGAGTTGGTTCTTTGAGAAAATCAACAAGATAGACAAACCTTTGTCCAAACTTACCAAACAGCAGAGAGGCAGAGAGTGAACACGCAAATTAACAAAATCAGAAATGAAAAGGGGGACATAACAACAGACTCTGAGGAAATCCAGAGAAACATTAGGTCATACTTTGAAAACCTGTACTCCACAAAATTCGAAAATTTAAGGGAAATGGATGACTTCCTGGACAGCTATCATTTGCCAAAACTAAATCAAGAACAGATAAGCAATTTAAATAGACCTATAACCCCTATGGAAATAGAAGCTGTCATCAAAAGTCTCCCAACCAAAAAAAGCCCAGGTCCATATGGCCTCAGTGCAGAATTCTACCAGAAATTCAAAGAACAGCTTATACCAATTCTTCTCAAAGTGTTCCACACAATAGAAGCAGAAGGGTCTTTGCCAAACTCTTTCTATGAGGCTTCAATAACCTTGATCCCCAAGCCACACAAAGATACAACTAAGAAAGAGAACTTCAGACCAATAACCCTCATGAACATTGATGCAAAAATACACAATAAAA